GGGAGGCCCCGCGGCCCGGCTGGGCGCGCGCGAGGCGCACGGCGCGTGGTGGCCGGGAGCGCGATGCTCCGGCGCTCAGTCCCCGAATCCACCGCGACGCCAGGCACGGTCCTTAGCCGGAGGCTGGGGCGCGGAGTCGTCTCCGCTCCCGCGCACAGTCCTGACGCGCGGAGGTCCAGGAGGTTTCCGCAAGGGCAGGGGCCACCGCTTCCGTATATAGATCTGAAATTTACAGGGCTGGGAACGTTGGTGTCGCCGGGCCCCCGCGACGAGCTTTGCAGGGGGATCCTCTCACGTTGACTGTCACCGTCTTGGTGACAGTCTTTGTTTTCGCTGTGTTTGGGGCTCAACGATCGCTGCCCCATGCACCAGCCCTTTTCAAAGTAGTACATTTTAAGGAAATAAAATAAGCCGGGAATTGTGGAAGGGGCTGGGTGGCCAGGCGGCCAGAGGGGAGAAACCCATTCCCCCTTTGTGCATCGTAGAACTCTGCAGAACCATCTCTGTGGAGTCAAGATCCTTCAGTAATCGAGGTGGTGCGGTTGGTATTAGCAACAAAGTAGCCAGTATGGGAGGGAATCTGAATTGAAGAGCCGACCCAGGTCTGGAGAAAAAAATCTTCAACTAATGTGTCCCCTGATAATTGTATCGGATTTGGGACTTCTCAAAGCCCAGTGATGGCAGTGAACTGGGAATGAGGCAGGAGGAAAAAACACACATCGCGTTGTGTATCCACAGACGAGAACATGAGAGGACATTCTGGGGGTCCAGTGACTCCTTTTTCAGGCACACAGTAGAAATGATAAGAATGGTAACTCTTACGACATAATTTTAAAAGAGCAGAGGATGCTGGATTTCACTCCTGGTCCCTTCCGTTCCAGCCCCACACCGTGGAGACCTTGGATCCTGACACCCCGAGATGCTGGGCAGACCAGAACTAGAAGCCGGGTAAGGTGAAGTGTGGGCATTGTAGGTACCCATCAGTTCACCCAGAAAAAGGCACCATCTCAGCCTGCGCCTCCCCTGGTCATCTAAGGTAGAAGTGGTCTGGAGTAGGAGCCTGGTGAGCGATGTTGATCAGACCTGAGTCACAGTGGATTGGGCTCCTGCTTGCTTCTTTCTTAAAAAGCAAAGTCACTCCAGTATAGCTGTTTCCTGAGCATTGTAAGAGATTTTTTTCCAAGTTACTTCCCCCTCCCACACACCCTTCCTGCAAATCAACAGGTAGAGAGAAGAAAGGAGAAGGCTGCCTCCGTGTCCCCTTGCCCTAGAAGAAAGCCGAGCGTGCCATTAGCACTGGACGGGTGCCACAGTGCAAATAAGGGTAGAGATCAGTCTGGGGTGCCCAGAAGGTGTGGTTAAAAGCCGGAACGCTGTCTGGCCCTTTCTGAAGCACTTTCAACCCTGTCTGCAAGCACTCGTCAGGTAACTCCTGTTGGCTGAGCAAATACACTCCGGTGGAGGGCTTTGTGGGCCAAGATTAATGGCCACCACTATTCTTTTGTTTCCTCCAGTGATAACTAAATTGCTTTATACTTAACGAAGTAATGACTTGCTTTCTTGGAATTTACCTTTCCTTGTTATAGTTTAAAATATAAATGGATGGCTTTTTTTTTTTTTTTTAAATGCTGAAGTTAATTAGGCTAGAAAAGACCAGGTATTTAATGTACATAACACATGTGGCATATGGCTTAGTGAGCAGTTATTTGTAGTATGGTAAGAAACTCAGGTGCAGGAAAACAGACTTAGACTACTGTATTAAATTAGTGTGAATAGTGGGAGTTTTAATTCAGTTACTATTTAAAGAATGAAGCAAGAAAAAATCAAATTAACAAGGGATAGGGATCTGATTTTGTAGCCCAAATTATTATTAAATACATGCGATATCTAAATAATGAAAAAAATTCCTTCTTTTTCATTCAATTTAAGTTCTTAAACATAAGACTTAAAAGTCCTTGGGAGAGAGAGAATATAGAAGTTTACAATTATGCACTTTTCTTTTAAAGGAAATGTATATGGAGCCTATCAGTCGTGAGAATAAAAATACTATAAGCGTACTTCCTAATGTAAGCCTGGCAGGTGGGTTTTTTATCCCTAGTGTGATGAGAAGGCCATTGGTAAGAAAAGAGAAGATTGCAGGAAAAAATGTTATGTTGTAGCAACTTTCTAGTTGATCGTCAGCATGGCTTACTGGATAAAGGAGTTGTGTCCATGGATTTTTTTTTTTTTAATGTGTCTTTTTTGATTTCAGAGAGAGGAAGGGAGAGGGAGAGAGAGAGAGAAACATCAATGATGAGAGAGTCATTGATCAGCCACCTCCTACACGCCCCCCTCGGGGGATAGAGCCCGCAACCTGGGCATGTGCCCCAACCGGGAACCGCAATCTCCTGGATCATAGGTCAATGCTCAGTCGCTGAGCCACGCAGGCCAGACTCCATGGATTTTTTGGGGGGGGAGGGGAAGGGTGGGTGTTCCGTGGGCTACAGCGCTCGCTGCCCTACTTTCCCGGGCCAGCTCTTTGCAGAGCACAGTTGGTGGGGCGCAGCGGCCAGCGGCGGGCAGGTGTCCCGCGCTGTTCCCCAAACCCCAGCCACGTGAGTGCGGGAAGGGAACGCTTCTTGCTCAACAGCGCCCTCTCCCGACAGAGCAGGATAATTCCTCGGCTCCAGAGCCCTGTTGTCCGTTTCTAGAGAAATTCCAGGGAAGGCTTTGAGCAAGCCCTGCCCTGAGTGGAGTCACCCTCACCCATCTGCTGCCCCTAAGTCCCCTTGGGACCTGTCTCCCTCCCCTGCCTGGGAAAAATGAATGACAGCCTAAACCTTTGTTGGCCTCTGTTCCATTTCCCTCCTGGCCACTTGCAAAGGAGGCAATTTCCTGGAAGGAGACGTCAGGACTGTGTTCTTCTGGTCCCCTCCTCCCATCTCCCAGGCCTCCCACCCCTTTGCTGGAGTCAGAGACATGTGTGTCTCTCCCCATTACATTTAAACGCCTGAACGGAGGGACTGTGTGGGACTCACCTGTCTATCTTTGAATCCCTCACAGTGCCCTGGACATTACTGAAAACAGTAAGAGGAAGACGGGCTTACCTAGTACTGCTAAGGTGGTTAAACTGTCTCCAAAATCGCTACTGATACTAACAAGTGCAGGCGACTTAGATTTTGTTTTTTTTTAAATTTCAGGATGCGACTTCAGAGGCTCCTTGACTGTGTGTTTGTGTCTGTTTTTACAGCTTGAGCCTGGGGGTGACCGACAAACTTCTGGATCAAAGGGGGCCTTTGGGTTTCAGCATCCTGTAAGGTAACATGACTTCACAGCGAGAAATGCACGATTTCCTTTTAATATAAGCATTAATACACTTTTGTGCCTTCTACTGCGTACGTTTTTAACAAAGTGGAAAAAAATTCAGTATTCTCCAATATTATTTAGTTACTATTATCCCAAGGAACTTTAGGGATATTTTGTGGGATTTCTGTGATCCATTCATTTATTCATTGTTTCATTTGCAAGTTGGAATTGGCCTCTCTTTCCTTCATACCTTTTTAAAAATATATATATATGTTTTTATTGATTTCAGAGAGAGGAAGGGAGAGGGGGAGGGAGAGAGAGAGAGAGAGAGAGAGAGGGAAACATCAATGATGAGAGAGTCATTGATCAGCTGCCTCCTGCACACCCCCAACTGGGCATCGAGCCTGAAACCCGGGCATGTGCCCTGACTGGGAATGGAACCCCGATCGCCTGGTTCATAGGTTGACTCTCAACCACTGAGCCATGACAGCCAGGCCATACCCTTGGTTTAATACCTCTTATTACATATTATGTCTTCTGTTAAATTTAATTGAATATGAATTGTATAAGCATATCTGTTTATATTTATATTATCAAAAGGTCCCCAGAGTGGAGTCTTTCTTTCATTCTCCTTTCCCCTTCCCCTTCCACTTTCACTTTCTCTCTCTTCCTTCTGACAAATAGCCATTTTCTATTCTGGAAAAGTCAGGGACCCATCCATATTGCTTCTCTATGGCAACATTCAGAAAGATTAGCTGCTTTTCATCCAGACCAAGGTTTCAGAGTCAAGTTTCCTCTAGATCCCCAAGGGCCGCAACGCTCCCCATGCTTGGGGGCCTCCCCTGCATAGGACCAGGATGGGTCAGGCCATCATCAGGGTGAGCCTCTTAGTCTTGAATGAAAACTCAGTGTCTTCACTTACTTTTACCTCCATGGGAGCGCACCCTCTTCCCCAAATAGGTTTGCTCTCCCAGCTTATAGCTCGCTTCTGTACCAGTGTGGGGTCCCCTAGCGGGTCCCACCCTCTGCCCACAGTTGCGTTCCGGTGACTTTGTACCAGACGCTGTGTGCAGCGGAGGCAGAAGCAGAGAGGGAGGTGGGGAGTTAGCTGCTTGTAGGGAGAAGGACCCTCCAGGTGGAGTTCAGGACCGGTTCGCACTGGCTAATGCTTATTTGTTTCTTAAATGTTAGACTTTACTTGCCCATTTCAAAGCGCCAGGAGTACCTGCAGAGTTCTGGGGAGAGGGTGCTGGCCAGCTTCCCGGTGCAAGCCACCATCCACTTCTACAACGATGAATCCGACTCAGAGGATGGAGGGCCCGAGGAGGAAGCCCGGCTCCTTCCCCGGGAGGCCGAAGGCCCGGGAACCGGCCCCGGCCCCCGCGGCGGAGACCCGCAGGCACGCTGGGCACCGGCATCTGCAGGGCACGGGCGCCCCAGCGGGCAGGGCCGGCTCCCGCTCGGGGACTGTCCGGGGGGCGCCTGGTGCTCCTCATCCAAATAAGCGGGGTGTCCCTCCCGCCACCCCTGCCTCACACGCACTCTTGGAGACAGCTGTGCCTGGACACTCTGCGTGTCCCCCGGGTGCACAGGGGGGCAGGGCCTGCCTGGCTGTCTCTGGCCAGCACTCCACTCATGGCGAGATCTCACAGCTTTCCCTTTCCTTGTGGGGACTCTTCCTCGGGGCACTCATGCGTGCCCCTGAGAAAGGCTTCTAGGCCCGAGAGAAGGTTTGTGTCAACACGGGTTCTTATCAGGGAGGGCGACTTCCAGAGCACAGTCAGCAGGGTCACTCTGCCGGTCAAGTGACAGACACTCCGACAGAGGTCAATAACCCACCCAGGCCTCTCTCAACCCAAGACCCCTTGTTGAGCTGTTTGTGCTTTTGTAAAAAAGATATTGGCCAATGTGGTTGCTTAGTGGCATTCTGAAAAAGTTATTTATGACAACAGACAAAACACAATAAAATTCCTGTAAGAATCATGGAGATAAAAAGATACAGATTTTTAGGAGACATTTCTGGATAAAAATCTTCAGGACTGCTGTCTAAGGGCTGTGTGTATGCAGAGAGAAAGAGGGGAGCTTTAACTCGAGTTGGGGACTGCTTTGGGCTTGTTACTTGAATAGAATAACATTGCTTTCAATCAAAGTATTGAATGTAAAATTATTTTAACTTTTTTATATTTGAATGACCAAATGAGTGTATTCCTCAAGGTATTTTACTTAACTATCTTACATGTGGTTTTCTTTCTATATATAGTACATCATATAAGATTCTACTTGAAATAAATATTTTGAAAGAAAAAAATGTTTGATAATAGTCTTTTTTGTTTAAGACATTTTTAGATTTAATTAGTTCCTACATTAGTTGTTAAAAGTTTACCAGGATGTTTTTATATTTAACTCTTTAAATGATGTATTTTTTCAAGAATGCAGAAAAAGTCTAACAAAGGAAACAAAATGGTTTACAACTTCAATGCTCAGATAATGCATTAATATTTAAAAAATAGAAGGACTACTTGCAAATATTTTAACAGTCCAAATAATATAGAAAAATATACATTGCAAAGTAAACATCACCCTCTCCTGTACTCCCCTTTCTTATCCAAAGGTAACCAACATCAATTGCTTTCATTGCTCTACCTTTTAAAAAATTAAATTTTCCTTTTTGGTCTTCTTTTTTCTTTTAAAAAAAACTTGTTATTTTTGGTTTATTTTAATCTTTTTAAAAATATGTATTTTATTGTTTCTTTTAGTTGTTTAAAGTACTTTTTTTCCTAACTTTAAAACAATTTTACTTGGGTTTATTTCAAAAAGGATGTCAGATAGCCTCCTATTTGCTTGGGTTCTAGCAGGAAAATTCTAGAAGTCTTATTCTTACTTTCCTATCATGTGAAGCTTGGGATGAAATGGAAGTCATCATAGTTGCCTTTGTTCAGTTGTCTTAATAAATCAGTTTTACTGATAAAAAAGATCTGGCCCAATCACGTTTACAATTAAGAAACCAAGCCTAGTCTGCATGCTGATGGCACCAGAATTTTAAATGTGCTGCATGGTACATGTTCCTTAAATTACTTAGATTTGGCCCGTTTAGTGCAAATAAGGAAACCAAGGCACTTTAGAATGGCCAGTGCGGGGATCCCAGGTACTGCAGATGTGGTATTTGTGAGGGAGCCAGTGAGCTCGGGGCTCCTCCACTCTCGCAGCTTTTGTGGTTTGCTGGGTTGGCTACACACAGGCCCAAACCTGCACAAGCCGCACACAATTTTTGTTGTTGCTGTTAATCTTCACCCCAGGATATTTTTTCCACTGATTTTTAGAGAAAGTGGAAGGGAGTGAGAGAGAGAGAAACACTGATGTGCGAGAGACACATCAACTGGTTATTTCCCGCACACGCCCTGACCAGGGCCTTGGCCGGAATTGAACCATGAATCCTTCAGTCTGAGGGCTGATGCTCTAACCACTGAGCCAAACCAGCCAGGGCTAATTCTTAAATTCTTAATAAAGTTTTTCCATTACTTTATTTTGGACCTTGAACTGTCAACTGAAGTCACAGAGGTTTTATTGTTTGTTTGAGCAACTTGTTCTTATCACTTTTTTTTTTCTGTGCTAGGAAGATATTTCTAAACAAGAGGAAAATTGCCCTTATCAAACACCAGGGGGAGAATTTCCTACTTTCCTGCAGGGAGTGAATCACTCCTGCATGACTCATTTTTGCAGAATTGGCCGGAGAAAGACAAAGGCAGAAATAGGTGCTCTTTTATGATGATCATGAAAACGGTGGATACTTATACCTTAGCAGTTGCTGGGTAAATCTAAAATACAACATTATTTTAATATTCTATTATATCATTACATAGTAATCCTTACAAGCAGATTTCATTTTATAGTTGCAGATATTTCAAAAAGATGCTCAACGTCCTTAGTCCTTACAGAAATGCAAATTAAAACCACAGTGAGACACTGTCATGCACCTACTAGAATGATTACCATTTTTTTTATATATATCTTTATTGATTTCAGAGAAAGGAAAGAAGAGCAAGAGAGAGAGATAGAAACATCAATGATGAGAGACTCATTGATCGAGCCCGCAACCCGGGCATGTGCCCTGACCGGGAATCGAACCCCGATCGCCTGGATCCTAGGTCTACGCTCAACTGCTGAGCCACGCCCGGCCGGGCAGAATGGTTACAATTTTAAAAGACAGGTGATAACAGGATTGGCAGGGATGTGGAGAAACTGGAACATCACTGGTGTGAATGTAAAATGCTAAAGAGTTTGGAAAAGGGTTTGCTGTTTCATTAAAAAATTAAACCAAAAATTTACCATACAACCCAGCAGTTCTACTCCTAGGACTCTCCCCAGGAGAAATGAAAACATTTGTTCACAAAAAGACATATACACAAATGTTCACAGCAGCTTGATTCATAATAACCGCACAGTGGAAACAATCCAAATGGGCATCAACTGGTAAATGGATGAATAGAATGTGGTCTACCCATGCAATGGGATATATTCAGCAATAAAATGGGGTGAAATGAAGTATTATTACATGCTAAAACATGAATGGACCTTGAAAACAAGCTAAGTGAGTGAAGCCAGAAGCAACAGACTACAAGGTGAGATTCCATTTATATGAAATGTCAACAAAAGGCAAGTTGATAGCAACAGAAAGCAGAACCGTGGTTGCTTTGTGCTGGGAGTGGGGGCAGGGATTAACTGTAAATGGGCCCAAGGAAACCTTGGGGTGATGGACATGTTCTAAAACTGGATGGTGGTGATTGTCATACAATTCTATAAACTTACTAAGTCACTGAATCACACAGTTCCTATGGGTAAATATATGGTATATAAATTACACCACAACACAAGCTGTTTTAAAAGCTTAAATTCTTCTGTTAAAACAATATCTGTAGCCCTTGCCGGGTAGCTCAGTCTGTTAGAGCATCGTTCCAATACGCCAAGGTTGAGGGTTCAACTCCCAGTCAGGGCACATACAAGAAGCGGTCAATGAATGCATAAATAAGTGGAACAACAAATCGAAGTCTCTCTTTCCCTCCCTTCCTCTCTTCCCCCCTCTCTCTCAAATATGGCAAAAAACCCCAACAACCCACAATATGTGTATCTTTCTGTTTAGCCACTGAGTCACTACAGGAATAATACAATCTTTTTGTGGCATGACAAAAACTTAAAATTTAAAAGCAACCCGAAGGAAAAAGTTCCAGAGAAATCCTTTGGTTTCTTCCCTGACACTCGTAGTTTCTGACTCTCCTGGGTCTATGAAGGGTCCATCTTGTGCGCACTTGCAGTGACCTCTGAGTCATCCATCCATCACAGAAGGGGACCAGGTGTACTTTTAGGATAATGACTTCAGTTCCAAAGTAACACATGAAGGGAAGACCAATTGCTGTAATCCAGGTCATCACTAGGCTTGACATTTTTGTGAACATCTTACATTACTCTGCATCCCAAGATTATGTTGTTAAACAATGTGGTAGGGCCAATACCCCGGTTTGGGTTAGGTGTAAGTAAGGCTCAGGGCTTCAGTTACTCACAGTACCAAAAAACAGTGGTCACCAACTGTCATAGCCGGGGCTCTCTCCAGTTACATCAAACACTACAAGGCAAACTAGGAAGTTTCACGTAGCTTTCCACAATATACCCGTCCATAACAATTGTTACAGCTGCCATTGATACCATTAAAAGAGATTTAAACAAATTTATTCAAAAATACATTTCTTATCGACACACAGCAGATACAGAAAAGTGAGCAAACCATAAGTGCTTGATGAATTTTAAAAGATAACATAGTCTCATACACCCGAAACTAATATAATGCTGTATGTCAACTATACTTCAATTAAAAAAAAAAAAAAAAAAGAGAAAGGGAGGAGAGAGAGAGGGAGAGAGAGAGAAGGTACTGCGCCTTTTGAAAAACCAGCCAGCTTAACAAACAGCTTACGATCACCCCGGAAGCCCCTCTCATGCCCCCCACTTACCACACCCACTCTCTTCCCCAAGGACAACCACTGTTTTGACTTCTAATACTGTGCATTCATTTTGCCCAGTTTTGAACTTTACATAAATGGAATCATACAGTGTGTGCTCATTTGTGTCTGGTTCTTTCATTCAACAGTGTGTACGTAAGTCACCGACTGTTCTATGGTATTCTATTGTAGGAATATATTCCTGTTTATTTTTCCATTCTGTGGCTGATGGGCATTTGGACTGCTTCCAGTTTTGGGCTATTATGAAGAATGCTCTACGAACATTTTTGAATATGCCTTTTGTGCACGTGTGTGTACATTTCTGTCGAGCAGATAACTAGGAGTGGTTGCTAGGCCACAGGGTATGTGTATGGTTAGCTTTAGTATAAATCATTTTATTTTGCTAAAATCTAGAAAGCCACTTGAAGTGATTTAACAGTAAACATACCTAAATGCAGAAATTTCCTAAATATAAACACACGTTCATTCTTCTTCAGAGCTGACTTGTGCAAACACT